TTAACCCATTGCGCCACCGGGAAAAACAGGAATAGAAGTTGCCCATTTTTAAAAAAGGATTAGACAACTTTTACCACTAGAGGACACCACCTTTCTAAATAACAGCTGTGAACAACCATTGTTAGATGATGAGATTTTTCCGTTATTTTTTTAAAAGGCCAAAGACATGGAAAAAGAATTTGGTCAAGATGCCTCTGAAACCAAAAGTAATATTTTTATTCGAAGAGACCCCCCCCCCCCCAGCTTTGTTTAGTCTCAGAATGGGTTCTATGAGAAATTCATAACAAAAATGGAACACCTAGATAGTTTATGGTACTGTACACTGGGTAGTTATTATTTAGTGAAAAGGGGTACAGATTAATCGGTCCCCTTTCACGCTATCTCCTATACTCCTCCAAAACAGGGCCTCCTTTAACATACTGAACAAGTCATCCTGCTTCTGTGTCACATCTTTTATTTGGCAATGAAGGTTTCCTTTTGCAAGGAGAATGGCAAGGGAGGAATTCTGTCACAGGCTAGCAATGAAAAACAAGAATAGAAGAGGAGTGCCTTTTTTAATGATTAGACAATGTTTACTACTAGAGCAGTGGTTCCCAACCTGTGGTCCATGGACCAGTAGTGGTCCGCAAGAAGTAAAACATGGTCCGCAGCCTCACCATTGCTACACTGTTGCAATAAGAAGGACTGGTCTCGCAAAACCTCTTATAGTGCCGAGGCTTATCAAATATGGTTTTCTGTAGACAAGCAGATGGCAACAACTGGATGGCATATGTTCTGTATCAGAAACTAGAGCTGATGTGGTCTATCCAATGCAATCTTCTGAATCAGCACCCAAATAACCAAACCAAATCTAAAGTTGACCAAAATCCAATTCATAGCCCTTTTGGTACTAATGTTGGAGAGTGGTCCCTGGTCAAGTGGTTCCTGATGGGYYAAAAAAAGGTTGGGAATCACTGCACTAGAGCAGTGGTTCTCAACCTGGGGTCCCCAGATGTTTTTGGCCTACAACTCCCAGGAATCCCAGCCAGTTTACCAGCTGTTAGGATTTCTGGGAGTTGAAGGCCAAAAACATCTGGTGACCCCAGGTTGAGAACCACTGCACTAGAGGATGAAGTCTTCCTAAATAATGGCTGAGACATCCATTGTTTTCACTCATTTGATAAGATTTTTAGGCAAAGTAGATTCTCTGCTTATAAGCATGGCTTCATCCCAGAAAAAAAAGAATATCAAATTCTGAAGGATCAAAGCAGTTTTTGTTTAGAAAATAAAGAACATAGCAAATTGAAAAAACTGGGGAGGGGGTTACATTTAATATGCAAACATAATACTTTACACTCCTCATAAACCACAAAGATCTGCAGTTTTTTATTTGTATTCTTTTCTGTGTCACATCCTTGTTACTTTTCAATTAACTATATTAATTATATAATTAAATATATCCATATTTTGTACTTTTTCTATTCATTGATCTTCTGAATATTAAAGTATCTGGTTCTTGCTTTAAAGTTAGTTATGAATTTTATGCCTAACTGACTTCTTCAAAAAAAAATGGAGACCCTAGAGGAGGGTAAAACTAGGTGTCGTGTTGCTTGTAGACTACACTTTGTCCACCCTGATTTAATGTGTGATACTAAATTGGGGGACATGGGAATATAGGGGAATTTGTTTTCTTCTTTTTCATCCATCCTATGCACATGTGGAAATGTGTTGTTGTGTGCTTTAAAGTAATTTCTAACTTACAGTGACCTTAAGATGTTTATAAGAAGAGTTTTCTGGGGCTGAGAGTCTGTGACCCTCCCAACATTACCCAGGGGTTTCCATGGCTGAGCAAGAAACCCACCCCCGATAATAGAGAAGAAGGGGAAAGGCATCACAAAAGAGCTAGCACAGGAATATCTAAGTATTCCAAAGGGACTTCAGTGTCTTGAGGCCAGATAATGGAGCAGAGGAGGCAGGAGGAGAAATGCAACATAGGAGAGGTAATGTTTTTTGGGGATTTTTGTGGATAAGCTCAAGTACAGGGAAAAGTTTGCTTTGTCACTGCAGCAGGAGGAAGAAGACACTTATTTATTTATCATGTCAAAAGCAAACCAAACAGCTGTATTACATTTTTAACAAACAAACAAAACACAAAGTTTGCAAGTTTGGTAGTTGATTAAATGTCTTTTGACCAGTAGCTGGCCACTTGGAGTGCCTCTGGTGTTACTATAAGAAGGTCCTCCATTGTGCATGTAGCAGGGTTCAGGTTACATAGCAGAAGAAGATACTGCTGATGGTTAATCCATAAAGAAAAGAACAAAGTAAAAAAATGCAGAGCGGGTTGAAGAGATATAAAGATGAAAAGCCCTTCACATGTCATGTATTTCTATCTGGACTTTATCAATCTCATTTTGAATATTTCTTTTGAAGTCTGAAACTTTGTAGAACTTGTTAACATTGTTATGAATAAATCCCTCAACTTGTTATTTGGAGCTTACTTTTTGACCGCATCACATGAGTATCTACTTTTTCAGAATTCTGAATTGCTAAAAGCCAGGAGTATGATTCTCAGTTTTAGTGATATTACTATCAATGCCACCCTTTCAGACGGTGAAATGTCAACCTCTTTCTCTAGGTACATATATATGGGGGCCAGGTCTCCAGTCTCTACAATGGTCTTCCAGTTGGGGGAAGCCTTTCTGGGACCCTTTCAGGGGCCATATTGCTCTCTCACTTCCAGGTGCCCCCTTCAAGGGTTTCTTCTGGGCAGGGAATGGAGAGCTAGGGAGCTAGCTAGAGCAGGAGGAGGCCTCCTAAGAGGGAATGGCTTCTGAATGTATTACTCCTAGTCACCAAGTGGAGAGAGAGAAAGGCAGAGATTCAGAGGCGCCTGCCTGCCTGCCTGCCTTTCTTTCTTTCTTTCTTTCTTTCTTTCCTTCTTTCTTTCTTTCTTTCGTCCTTCCTTCCTTCCTTCCGAGCCCTGGTCCCCCAAGATTTAAGAATCACTTCAATCTGAGGCAGAGAGACTGTGACTTCAACCCTTAATTGGACCCTTTGGGCCTCCTGGCCTTGTTGTGACACATGCAAACCAGGACTCACCTTCATGGCCTGAAGTAAGCTTGTGACTCACCGTCTCTCTCATGCAAACGCACTGGGAATTCCCAACGGGGTCAAGAAGTGAAACTTGAATTCGCTTCCTCCCTTTCTCAAGAATGAAGGGGCCCTGAAAAAAACAGTTTGAGGAAGAGAAGTCCATCAGCAGATGCAATTTGTAGAAGAGGAGCCTCCAAACCTAGGGGCAGTCTATCTCCAGCCATGAGTTGCTGAAAACTATTGGAAACATTCTTTGGGGGACAACTATGTCTCCCTGTCTGCATGGCCAAAATATACTCTCCTAAAATCCAACATTGGCCCTCCGTTCATCTAGGAGTCCAGCTCCCAGAAGCCCCTTCCAGATGGGCCAGTGGTCAAGAATGCTGGGAGCTGAAGTCCAGAACCTCTGGTAGAGCAAAGTACTGGAAACCACTAAAACATAGTCAAGATTTCTCATCTTTAAAGCAGATCCAAGAGAGGAAGAACACCTCCTAAAACTTAGAGCCCCCATGGGATAGGTTAGAATCCGCCCCCGCCCTCCATCAAGGTATGGATTCATAAGTAAACATAGTGGAATCCATTAAAATGTATGCATCCTATAAGAGTTAATAGCTATGATGATTATATGAAGGCTAAGGAAATACTTCCATATTGAAAAATAAAGGTCAAATGGGTCATCCTTTACCCAGGAACCAAAATACTCCAAAATCACTTCGGTGGCTGAGAGAGTGCCCCCTTTACTTTCGGATGTGGGCTCATCATACCCCCCCCCCCCACTTTGTTGCATACAAGAAATTATTCCAAAATGTTGTTTATAATACGAATCGRCAGGCTATGTGCACATGGAATTTCACATCCTCATGATGTATAGGCAAATACTTCCAAAATTATTATTTAAAAATTCCTACATCTGCCTCATTCAGACAGTTTCACAGAAGGGAGACTCAACACTTACTTTAACCAGAGTTATTGATTTCTTCTTAAATTACAATATTTATATATGGCAGCATCACATACTGTAAAATAAATTTGATTTGGTCACACTTGCAACTGCCTTGGCTCTATGCTATGGGATGCCTGGAAGTTGTAGTTTTTTTATAATAAAAATAATTAATAATATCTTTTAAGGTCTTTATTACCTTCTCTGGGTGTATTTACACTCCAGAATCAATGCTATTTGGCCCCACTTTAATTGCCCTGGCTCAGTGCAATGGGATCCAGGGAACTGTCATTTTTTAAAGTCTTTTCAACTTTCTCTGGGTGCATTTGCAATGCAGAATCATTGGGGAAATAGTAATTAATAATAATATCTTTTCTTTTAAGGTCTTTTCTACCTTCTTTGGTGTATTATTTACACTCCTGAATCAATGCATTTTGGCCCCACTTTAATTGCCCTGGCTCAGTGCAATGGGATCCGAGGAATTGTAGTTTTTTATAGTCTTTTCAACTTTCTCTGAGTGCATTTGCAATGCAGAATCATTGCAAAAATAGTAATTAATAATAATATATTTTCTTTTAAGGCCTTTCCTACCTGGGTGCATTTACACTCCTGAATCAATGCATTTTGGCCCCACTTTAATTGCCCTGGCTCAGTGCGATGGGATCCGGGGAACTGTAGTTTCTTACAAGTCTTTTCAACTTTCTCTGGGTGCATTTGCAAAAATAGTAATTAATAATATATTTTCTTTTAAGGTCTTTCTTACCTTCTTTAGGTGTATTTACACTCCATAATCAATGCATTTTGGCCCCACGTTTATTGTCCTGGCTCAGTGCAATGGGATACAGGGGATTGTGAAGTTGTAGTTTTACAGGCCTTCCTTGAAAGCATCTATCTTCAAGAGCTGGGACCCGGCGGCTTCTCCCTAGCAACCGATGACGTAGAAGCGCTCGCGAATCCCATTGGCTGGCAGAGGAGCGAAAGTCCCTGCTCTAGGAGAAGCTTCAGAAGGGCTTACTATGGGTTTGGAGTCGGGGATGATGGGTCCGTGGATCTGGCCCTTGGGCTTCGGGGGCCTTCTCTGCTTCTTGGCTGCCGCAGGAAGCTCGGCTCAAGGTAGATAAAGCGGCGCTGAGTCAGCAAATGAGTGGGTTGGGAGTGTTTGTGTCAATGTTGTTGTTATTGGATATGATATGCAAACTGTCCCTGAATTGCCCCTTTCCAGTAGACTCCCAGCAAAATTTGACATTGGGAGGGGAAGGCTGTCACTCCCATCATCCCTTGTGTCTTGCATTATGGATTTTGCTCTTGGGGAGACTACAACTCCTATTCCCACCCAACGTTCTGTATTATGGGATTTGTAGTCCAAACAACTAACTTCTACCCTTTTTAGGGTGGACTACATATCCCATCACCACCCCCACCCATTCCCACGTACACACACACACACCCCGGTTTCTGTGTTGCTGGGCTCAGAGTCCAGAGAAGTCACTATTGCAAGCCCTTTTCTCTATTGCAAGTCCCATCACTCCTCATCTTTCATGGAATGTGTGATTATTGTTGTTATGTTTATATGTGGCTTTTATCTGAGTCATTGAGGCCTAAAGAAGTTCACAACCATTAAAGATAATGCAATTTGAAATCTCCAGCGTACAGATATTAAAATAGGATCAAGCATACAAACCGGTTAAACTTGTGGGAGTTGTAGTCTAAGCAAGGCAGTTTTGCAAGATTCCACTTCTAAGGCCCCTTTCACACAGCTGTATACAATCCACGTTGAATTGAATTATATGGCAGTGTGGACTCAGATAACCCAGTTCAAAGCAGATATTGTGGATTATCTATCTTGGTATTCTGGGTTATATGGCTGTGTGGAAGAGCCCGAAGGCTGCGTCTGCACTATAGAACTAACTGATGCACTTTGACTGCCATGCTTCATTGCGATGGAATCATGGGAGTTGTAGTTCCACCAGACCTTGGGCCCTTCCACATTACCATATAACCCAGAATATCAAGGCAGATAATTCACAATATCTGGGTTATCAGAATCCACGCTGCCATATAATCCAGTTCAAAGCAGATAATGTGAGATTTTATGCAACTGCATGGAAGAGGTCCTTGAAGCATCTCTGCCAAAATGTGTGAACTCCAACTCCTGAAATTCCATAGCATTGTGCCATGGCAGTTGAGTGGGGGGTGGGGAGTCAAACTGCATCAATTCAATAGTGGAGATGCACCCAGAGTTAATTCTGAGCCTTTCTTACAGGTTTCACTTTCCAAATTCCGCAGCATCTTGGCCCCAACTGAAATGATTTTAATGCCATAAATCACAGTCTGAAGCCACTGGAATGATCAGTAAAGTGATCTAAATTTTGAAATTTTATTTGGATCCCCCATCATCTGAATGTATCATAACAAAACCACAAACTTTCAGAGCAGAATTTTTTCTGTTACAGACATAGGACTGGTCTTGGGTTTGGAGGTGTATGCAAGGAAGACTAAAGCAAAGCAAAGCAGCAGTTTGTGGTGCATAGATGGAAGAATGAATGCAGTTTGCTTAACATTGATTGCTATGGTTCAGTGTCATAGAATCCTGGGAGTTGTAGTTTTATAAAGGTGCATCCACATTGTGGAACAAATGCAGTTTGGCACCACTTTGACTGTCAGTGCTCAAGGCTAGGGAATGCTGGGATGTGTAGTTTGCCGAGGTCCCATTACTCTCCGGCAGAGAAGGCTAGAAACCTTGTGAAACTACAGCTCCCAAAAACAAACTTATAAAAAAACCCTAAAGTTTCAGCTTAAAAATGTATTGGGGTGTGTGTGTATATATATATATACATTGTACACACACACACACACACACACACATATATATGAGATAAAATACATGAAAAAAGACAAAAAAATTCAGACAATTTCCCCATTTTGGAAAAAGGGAAGCAAATCTGGCTGGAGGCCAGATCTGTTTGTTTCTCTGGCTCTGGAGTCCTGCATTCAAATTCCACCATCTCTCAGCCCTGGAAACCCCTTGAGCATAGGCCACACACTCTCAACCTCAGGGGAAGACAAAGGCAAGGGCAACCCTCTTGTAAACATGACAGGCAAAAGCATTCCTCCAGTACCCCTTCGTGTGGACCTTTGGGGAAATTCTCCTCCAAAAAAGTAACTTTCCTAAGCTCTGAGCAGCGCGCCATCAAGCTGCAACATCTATGAATGGCAATAGTTATCACTGCAAAAGAAAACACAGGACAGGAAAGTCTGCTTTTTCCTGATTCGACTGATACAGTGCCTTTACACTGTGAAATCAATGCAGTTTGACACTACTGGAATCAGTAGTTTTACCATGCCAATGGGTACATCTACACAGTAGAAGGAAAGCAGTTTGGCATCACTTTAACTGCCTTGGCTCAATGCTATTGAATCATGCGGTTAATAATAATAATAATAATAATAATAATAATAATAATAAATGCCCAGAAACGTAAAAGCAAAACAATCAGTTAAAACAAAAACAATAAGAGCATTGTACAATATAACAATCCAGATAAAACCACAATTAAATAAAACATAAGAATATGGCCCCCGGTGGTACAGTGGCTTAAACCACTGAGCTGCTTAACTTGGTGGCCGAAAGGTCGCCGTTTCGAATCCGGGAAGCAGCATGAACTCCTGCTGTTAGCCCAAGCTTCTGCCAAACTAGCAGTTCAAAAACATGCAAATGTGAGTAGATCAATAGGTACCGCTCCAGCAGGAAGGTAACAACGTTCCATACTGTCATGCCAGCCACATGACCTTGGAGGTGTCTATGGACAACGCCTCTTTGGCTTAGAAATGAAGATGAGCACCAACCCCCAGATTCAGACATGACTAGACTTAATGTCAGGGAAAAACCTTTACCTACCCTAAGAATATAAAACAGCAATGTTGAAATTCAAAATAATACTTGTAGTTTTTTTAAGTCTAAGAGTACATATATAGGGTAGAATGAATGCAGTGTGACACTGCTTTATTTGCTGTGGCTCACAGAATCCTGAGATTTATAGTTTTTCAAGGCCTTCAGCCTTCTCTGCTTAAGAAAGCCAAACTATAGCTTCTATCATTCCATAGTGTTGAGCCATGGGAGTTCAAGTGGTGTCTGTTTGCATTCATCCTGTAGTGGCTGCTTCCACCTGTGAAATTCACTGCCACTGGAATGTTTTGTGTACCAGAGCTTAGTAATTTATTACAGATCCCATAACCACCCCCACCCCCCACCATTGGAGGCTCGACTGGCAGGAAAGAAATGTAGGTCCAAAGACCTGTGCAAAAAAACCAAACTGGAAACATTGGTGAAGCAGTGAACTGTTTGAGCAAAATACTTGCAAGAAAAGGGAGCTAACAGGAGAAAGGCACATACATACAAGATTCAGCACAGTTCTATGTCTGGTGACTTCGCCCATCCTTGAGCTCCTGAACTCACTCTCAAAAATCACAAGCCTTTCTTCCTTGGGTCAAATATATTCTGATCAGAGCTGCCACAAAGTATGTAAGGATGCTTATGGATAGCAGTTTTATCAAAGTTATAGTAAGGAAGTATGTCTATTAGTGCAGTGTGCTCCTGCAAAGTGCAACATTTCTACTTCCAAAGCAGGGCCATAGCCAGGATTTTGTTTCGGGAGGAGCTGAGTTTGATTCGGGGGGGGGGGGGGGTCTGAGTGAAAGAGGGTCTAGCCTAGCAAACCTTTTGTATCATTACCCCAATACCCCCATGCATATGGGAGTATGGTGATCAGATCATGATATGAATAAACATAATGCACCAGTAAGGCCTTTTCGCGAACCACCATGAGAATTTAGGGAGGGGGGGCTGAAGCCCCCCAAGCCCTCCCCCCCCCCCACCCCCCCCCCCCCCCCCCCCCCCCGGCTACATGCCTGTTCCAAAGCATGGTATATTTCCAAGATCCATCATTGTTGTCAAAGAGCAATATTTGATCATTTCTACAGAACAGAGAACTTATTGGTAAAACAAAGTCTCTATTTTTCTACTGTTTCTCACAAGGCCATACAAGTATGAAATACTACATAGTTGCAACAAGATGCATTTTTTCCTCATCTAATTTTTATGGCAAAAATATGAGGAATGGGAAAGAGCAGATTTAGAAAAGGGGCATTTTTACATCTTTGTCTTCTTCCATTGTTATCTAATACAAAAAAGGTTTACTATGATGTTAAAAAAGAAAAGGGGGAAAAAGAAATTTTCTTTTCTAATCTAAAACAGAAGGGTAGACAAGAGGTTGTACAGTCTTTTGAAACAAAGGAGATAGGAAAGATGAGAATGGAAAAATAGAAAGCACTAAGTTACACTTCCTACCCTGTATCTGCTGCCTTCTTCTTCATCAAAAATTTATCCTTTTTGTCATAAATCTTCTTATCAAGAGACTAACTTTCCGGACAAGATTGTTTTATACATCAAAGGGAAAACAATACGAGCAGGGGTAATGTGGGTCTTGGACTGTGGTGATTGATGGTTGCTTGTTGCTAACTGACCTCTTCTCTGCCCCACAGAATTGCCTGCCCACCTCTTCTCAGAGGTCTTCTTCTGCCAGCCCGGCGACCCCTCCCTTGGCCTGGCCCAGACTCTGGACCAGGAACTCCTGTTCCACTTCAACTTCTCTACACAGCAGTGGCACTCCATTTTGCCGGATCTTCGGCCAGAGGAGGGCAACCACACCTCCTTGGATCAGGTTCAGCTGCTCGGGAACATCTGCCAGATCCTCTTGGAGCCCCTCACCAACCTCTCGAAGCCCTACATGCCGGAAGCCAAAGGTGGGGCCTTCACGAAAGAACCCAAGCACAACGCTGAAGCCCCTTCAGACCACTATACTAATGCAGAAGCTCAAGAGATAGCAAAGCCTTACACACATTGAAATTGGGGCAGTCTGAAGGCAGTTCAGGATGACTTGAAATGCTCTCATTTTTCTCTCCCAAACCCTTTTGCTGTGAAACCATTGGAACATCTGTGCAATTTGTTGTTTACACAATTCTTTGCTTCTAAAGCACACTTTTCCTCCCATATAAACATATAAACATCTTTAAAAATTGAGTGCACCTATGCATATATATATATATATATATATATATATATATATATATATTCAATATAATAATATAATAATATAATGGGTTACTTAGAATAATGATAATAATAATAATTTTATTTCTTACCTGCTTCTCGTTGTGGCTCAAGGCAGGTTGCAACATAATAAAAATACACAATCATTGTAAACACTCTATAAAATACACATGTTAAAACATATGTTTATAAAATACATATCAAAATACACATTAAAACTCAAGAAGTGAGTTTAAAATTCATTATTAAAACTGGCTGGGTACTCTCTATAGAGAGAGAGAGAGACAGAGAGAAAGAGAGAGGCTTTATTTCCTGTAGGCGGTGCTGAAATTCGAGTGTGTCTTACAATTGATGGTGTCTAAGAATTGAAGACATGTGGTATTATTATAATTAGAGCATCCTGCTTTCCTCTCATGAATGCGACTTGAAGTAGCTGCAGTTTGGTACCCTTTTATCTGCCCTGGCTCAATGCTATGGGATCCAGGGAGTTATTGTTTTGTAAGATCTTTTGCCTTCTCTGCCAAAAAACACTGGGGCCTTACCAAACTAGAAATTCCAGAGTCCCACAGCATTGAGCCATAGCAGGTAAAATGGTACCAAACTGCATTCATTCATATCCTCAGAGGAGTGCCAGCCAGCCATTGTTGTTGTTCTTATTCTGCTTTCTTTGCTTAAGAAAGACTCAAAACAGCTCACAATGCTACAACAGTACAGTGTACAGTTTAAAACCTACAACATATTAACACTATTAAAAACAAAAAAGGAAAAATGACACAAAGCCATGAAACTCTATTCCAGTGCCTAACCCACTCTGCCCCCCCTTTCCTCCCAATGTAGGGGCACCCCAGATGGATGTCTTCACCCTCCAGCCACTGGAGATGGGCAAACCCAACACTCTAGTCTGTGCAGCCAACAACATCTTCCCGCCGACAGTCAGCCTCCACTGGCAGCTGGACGGCCAGCCCATCTCCAGCGGAGTGTCCACTCAAAGCCACGTCTCCCCGGTTCAAGGCTGGGTCTTCCAGGCCTTCTCTTACTTGGAGTTCACACCACAGGAAGGACAGGTCTACAGCTGCACTGCCAGGAGCCCCTCGGACCCTTATTCCTCCGTGGCCTTTTGGGGTGAGAGGAATGGGTCACACTTTGTCAACAACAATGGTAGAGGATGGCAGGGAGGGGGGCAGTGATCATCTCCATTTCTAAGTCAAAGAGTTGCTGTTGTCCGTTGATACCTCCAAGGTCATTTGGCCAGCATGACTGCATGGAGTGCCGTTACCTTTCTGTAGAAGTGGGGAAACTATAGAATATGCATGGGGAACACATGCCTTAACAACATGTAGATGTGAACTAGGAGTCTTAAAAGACCACAAACTGAAAAGGAACCAAGAGTG